GATCCATGGGCAGCACGGGGACTCGCCCAACGCAGAAAGAGGAGGAATATGGATCACCGCTATTAACCACCACCAACCGAAGAAGATAGGGTTGCTTACTGCTCGTCGGTGAAGATGCTTCCCATGACGGAGAGCTCGAGTGGGGGGGGGGGTGAGGGTTCGAGGCAATATGCGAGAGGTGACCCAATTCCTCCCGCCATTTTTTCGAGGACGTGTGAGCTCACGGCATCTCCCCGCTCACACAAGCTTGGCACCGTGTCCCCCTCCCTACATGTCGAGAACCTAACTAAGTGCAAACTACCGACTCGACGTTCCCCACGGGCCTGGCTGAAAGGTACTTTAAGAACCATGTTATGCAGGACCAATGGTGCTCACAGACAATTAAACAGACCAGCACAGGCTAAAAATGCATCATCAAAGCCTAATAGGATGGCGAACCAATCTGTGGTTGAATGGTTAGAACATCAGTCTTGTGTCTGTCCTCTGGCCAGTTCTGACGTAATTTTTCCCTCAAACCGGGTGGGGCTTTGCAGGAGTCCGGGCCACCGCCACACACGCCTCTGACAACCATGGCCCACCGAAAACACTCTCCCTCACGCGCGCGCTTTCCCACCCATAGCAGTCAGCGTCGCTCCAAAGCGCCAGCGTCGCATTCATGCCGGCCCAGAGCGAACACGACCTCTCACTAGAGCCGGCATTGAAGCGACGCGCTAGCCGAGAGTGCCGCCCGCTGCATGCGGCTTCTATCCACATTGCAACGATATTTGTCCTCCCCACCTTCCTCCATTAAACTGGCGCGTCAGCTAAGCAACCTACTCCGGAGCCCCCAACGGCACACACCTGGCCGACATTAAACACCCCGCGGGCTTGGTGCATAGCATCCATCCTCTATTTAACATGGCCAGGCTCCGGGCAAACTCCACACCACACCTACGCTCTCCATCTCCTCTATGCACCCAACCCGCCATGACGTCGAGCTCCAACGCCCCGTGGGATGGCATCACCGACTAACAGAAGAAGGAGCTCTCCGACATTGCTGCCCGATGGTTGGACTGCCGAGCTAGCAGAATACAGGTTGGCTTGCCGGCCAGCTCTTCAGATGGCAGCGACACTAACGAACCAACGAAGGACAAGCCGACGCCACCCCCATTGCTTGTCCAAGACGACATAACCATGGGCGAGGCATAAGAGGACGATACGGGCATCGGGGCAGATGAGCACCGGCGCGCAGAGAAGCAAGTTAACGACACGGAGAAAGAGGACGCCTACGCGAAGATCGACAAGGCGGGGGCAGAAGTTTATGACGAAGCTGGCACGTCCGCGGGATTGCCAGCCGCCGTCCAATTTCCCATCTCCGGCCAAACTCACCGTATACTGTACCACCTTTATAAATAACCGCCAACTTTCTCCAGATTGCCAGCCACACCCTCGGGACATTTCTTCCTCACCCCCGCAGCTGCCACGAGAGTCCTCCCCGCAGCAGCGTAATGAGCCAAGGTTCTCCCGCCGCGACGGGGTCCGGTTCAGGGACAGCAGAGCCGGCCCATGGGCAGCACGGGGACTCCTCCCCCAACGCCGCCGCCGCCTCCGCCACCCCGAGCGCCGTCGCGGCCGATGCTTCCTCCTCCTTCTCGCCGCCACCTCTCCCCCCCGCGGCGCCCCTCCAGCGGCCCCAAGAAGAGCGGGGCGGCGAGCAGGCCGGAGGCTCGAGCTCCGCCGCGGCGGGGGTCGACCGGAATGGCAAGAATCTCCCCTCCGCACCCGCAGTTCCTTCTTCGGAGTCTTCATCTTCGAGCTCCGGGGGCAGCAGCCC